AAACCCTTTAATTTCTGAACATAAGGATGAATTCAACTGAACTTAAAACTACCAAATAAAAAGAGTTCTTGTATAGTATAAAGATGCATTTCTTTACTCACTTCTTATTAACTAAAACATCTCGCTGTGTGGGCGGTGGAGCAGCATATTGTCGGGAGGGATCTTCAGGATGGGCACCCACATCCTTACCCTGAAGCCACAAATGGTAGCGATCTGGCTGGAACCGTTTTACAAATGTATCCATACTTATTTTCACCATGTCGCCTCTAGAAGCACAATAAAAAGTTTTTTTCACAAATCAACATAATAGTGTTTTAAATACCTTATTTAATTACTGTGTTAATGACAACCTGTGTAAAAAATCACATACTGAACTGCACATATCTAATGTTGCATTTGTACATGTATCTCTGGTATTTCAACATATGATATAGCATTCATGCCCACTGACCTGATATAAGAACTAATTTTGTGACATAGGCTTCAAAAATTATCCATTTATTTATTTATAATAAATACTAAAACTGTTGTGAAAAATATATCATTTAACATGTTTTCAAACATTTTGTACCTTTAAAATAGACAGACATACTGATCAAAACATCATTACAAGAAGAAAATTTCAAAATGTGATAAAATAAATATTTCCAAGTGTTTATATTTCCCATCATCACACACACAAAACACCAAAAACATTAAACATGAAAACTACTTGTGACCTGCAAGAACACTGTGAGGCTCTCTTTCCATATTCAACCCAGCGAGGCGTTGCAAAGTTTGTTGATTCCGCACAGTTGAATCCATGATTGAATCCTGCATGGTACCCAAATGGAAAAGTGATCATTATTTCACCAGCCTCTTGCGTAATCTGAAGTACAACAAAACCAGAAAAGGAAATAAACAGTAGTATATAAGCAAACCATACTCAGTTATAGAAGACAATATGAAAAATACAGAATTCACAATTAAGCTGCCCTGAAGGGTTCAAATTCAAACTCACCCTGACAGCAAGCTTTCAAATCTCTACTACATAAGACAAAAAATTAACTTGTTCTTCTTTGTATAAACAAAGTTTAGGTAATTAAACGCATTCCAAAGATAAAACTGCTCACCAAACAATGCAACTATTTCTAACAGCTGAAAAATTTCCCACTGACCATAATTCAGTAAATTTTGATCAGAACTATTACTTTCTGCAACTCAAACAAACCTTATTGAAGGGAATGGAATACTTCTTCATCACTTGTGGAGAGATGAGTGACATCTTATGACGGAGAAATGCTGGACATACTTTTGAGGCCTCTGGAAAGAACCCATTGGCTAACCTTTCAAACCGACGACCATGCTCAGGAGGTATACCATACCAGGTCTTTGGTGCACCAAAATGCAAGTAATTGATACTGTACAAATCCATGTCCTCAGTGTGCCAAGCAAACGTCGTTTTCCACATGCCGAAATATAAGTATGCTGTATTTACACCATCTATACTGATACCATAATCTTCATTCACGTAATCTAAAATTGTTCCCAGACGGTTGATGTTCCAAATCTGAAAATATACCATACAGTAAATGTTAATGTGAATATGATTATTCTATGGAAAACTTGCCAAACATCACACTGAGTATGAGACGTTATTGCACTGTTTACAGGTCACAGTTTCAAATCTCCACCTGAAGACTCATCTATTCTCAGTGAAACTTTCATCCCTTCAAGCAAACACCAGGGTAATAATGTAAAATGGACCTTTTCAAATTCATTATTCACTAACCATTAGATCATTCAATGATATATAACATGAGCAATTAAAAGTGTTGGTAAATAATCAGTAAATAAATACAGAAAACTGATGTACATATCCAAAACTGTATGCCCATCATGTGCATCTGAACCACATAACAGAATGTTAATTCTTCCTACTCAACAGATTATATGGCTACAACCCAGAAGACAGACATCTTCATACTCACCATCATGAGAACCACAAATCCCACTACGCAGTGATAATATTCTCCATCTCTCTTCTTTCCACTTTCCCTCTCTTTATACACTGTAACAACAGCACTTACTTTATTGTAAGGTCATGTAAACAAGAATCTTAGAAAAATACTCACATTAACATCTTGATCTGTAAGGGACCCTGACACATCAGCACCATAGATTGGAGAGCCATACATAATCTTCTTCCAGTACGTACGTTCCAGATCCTCATAATCAAAGTGGTTCGGTGTCATATATCTGAAAAAAGAAGCACATATGAACAAACAAAAAAGAAACTGAGAGAAGAGTATAAAACTCACCAACATCAGTAAAAGCAAATATGCTTCAAAAACAGCTGCTAACAACTCTGACGTGATGCAGAGTTCAAGAATGAATACACATACCGATTTAATATTATGAAACAATAAAACACAATAATGTTAATACATGTGTAAATGTTTTTTAATGATCTACCCATTCTTTACACATGAAACAAAAAATTCCAAGTTTTGAACAATGAGTAATATATATTACAAGTTACAATTTCTAACATTACTTCTCAAGTAATTACCTGGGACTGGTTGCAATGTCATGGTATTCTTTCACAGTCATTGCCTTCTTCTGTACATTAATTTGTGTGTACAATCCTGGTTTCCCATCCACAACTTGACAGATTGGAGCTGGTATATTTATGTTAATACTGTCCACATCATACCCAGCCTTGCGTGGTTTCCATTCAGGAGGTGGTATTACCTACAAAAACAAACATGACAGAAGAATACCGAGAAAACTGGAAATATAAAACAGCCAAACATGACATGATGTTTCAAGCAATTTTGCTATAGGCTTATTGTAGGTTCAATTAATGTGGAGAGCAATTATTTTCGATGCAGTTTCATCAGCATTACTGAAAAGCTGAAAATATAAATGATTTACCAAATACAATGTAAGAGAAGATACTATACCAGTAGTTATAAAAATCTACTGCATGATAAAGTTACATCAAGAAAGTGTTTTGCTAATGAAGTTTAAACGTCCACTACAACATTTAAAATGGCTGCAGACACTTATCAAGATACTGTGTGAATATAACATCAACCTATTGATAATTATAGTACTTCACACACAATAATTTTCATAAAACCACAACATTTTCAAGACCAACTTTCCAAACATTAATTAAATTTAAAGAAAGTAATATTAACAAACAACAATATTCCACATACAACATGCAGAAAACTATGTACCACCTTAACTATATCCAGTAAAATTGTAACATTTTAAAAAAAAGTTCAATTATCTTACTCTTCTGGAAATTATGTTGTAAATTGGGGATTGAAGAGTAACTTGGTATAGGCTGTAAACTACAAGATTATGTACATTATCACATACCTTGGCCAAACCAGCTTTGTGTGCTCCAACTGATTCCATATATTCAACATACTTGGAAAAATCTTTAAATTCATCATATGTGGGACGAAATACCATAATCTTGGGGCCTCCTGGCCCACAATTACCATCACTATCCATGATGACGGTGAATGGCTAGAAAATAAACCCACAAACCATCTAAAATAACGCACTTATTAACAACTGATCAGCAAACACATCTTAAATTCACATGACTACAGACGCACTATGGATATATGGATTACAAATAAATTATCCTCCTGCTCTTCTCTTCTGTACACAGAATACAAAACAATATTTGCACCTCAGAGTTTACACCTCATAATTACTTCCATTTATTCGCCTTCTCATGAAACGAAAATGTGTAAAATAAAGTAACATAACCTCAATTACAGTATCACTGTTCACCGAAACTAAACAATTCAAGTAACGTTGAAATCAACATACTCTGTTCCGGTCCATTGCCATGCCGATTATTAGAATCTGATGTATTACATTATATTAAAAATTATTTTTATTAAAGCAAATTGGATACAGTGAAGTATGTGTACTTATAATAAATACGTACTTTCAACAGAAATTGTTCATTTACGTTTACCACGTTCACACACACACAGTCCACTACACTGTAACCAAAATTACCAAATAAAAACAAGATGGCGCCTGACAAATGAATCGAGTAGCTTTGCATTCAGGTTCTAACTCAAAGCCTGAATACGTATAGTTACCACCGAGAGTAATATAAAATTCCTATCAATTCCCAAAAATTCGTATGTTATATGTCGCAGTTCCGTTTGCATCACAACAGGTAGAAATGTTTACCAAACTGATATGCTTTTAGCTAAAAGCATGAAACTAGACATTTGTCCAAGTTACATTTAACTTTTTCCTCAAATAACATGAACTTTATTTCCACTCACAACAAAAATGAACTGTCTTATGCATCACGTACCCACACAGATACTTCTTTCCCCTTGTTTTCCAAACAGACTTTCAGCGTATTTCCTTTTATGTCATCCTACTCCCTATTATACGGAATCATGGATACTCGTGGATTGTGCACGAGTCTATGAGCTAACATCAGATTCGAGCTTCCTGCAATGACGTTGAGCATTTATTTTCTCAAAACTCTTTGTTGACACAATATAAATAACGAAAACACGAGAATAAAATTATGTCTCAGTGTTTGTAAGGAATGTATAAATGAGATTGTACATTAATGAACTAAGAAAGCAGTTAAATTAGCAGGACTTTGATTCTGTTCACACGTTATGTTCCCATTGATTTGGTTAGGAATATCGCGTTTTGCAAGACACTAGCTTGCGGGCAAAAGGTAAATAAACCAATACATTATGTGAACCAAAGACATTCCGACATAGGAACTAAGAGAGCGAGCCATAAAGCCCTCACACTACTCTGATGCTTTTGCCACTGTCGTCCAACAGACGAGGAACGCACGGTTTTGGCCCGACAACTACACTCTTGTTGCAGTATGTAAAATTGTTTTATTGGACTCTGTCCATTGTCTACATAAAATCACATCGTTTCGGAAGTTGGACCCTGGTTCTGTCTCGAGGAAAAAGAGAGAGAACAGAAACCCATATGTTGAGCCCCCTGGTAGAACTAGCCTCAGGCCTTCTCAACCAGGGGGCGCAACAGATATGATTTCTTCATTAAATCACCTGGCACGGCTGGTAGCCTGTAGGAATTCATTATATTTAGTCGCCGTGAAAGCTTCAGACCATTCAAAAAAACAGTTTCTGTTCGCTCTTCTTTTTACCTGAGGACGGAAGCTGAGTCCAGCTTTCGAAACGTTTTGATTTTATTTACAATTTAGAAGGCAGACAAAGTCCACGAAAATTACAATACATCATAGACAGAAACTTTCAGACTTTATCTTGTAGTGTTTCGCTGTTGTTTTGAATACGTTACATATAATATTTTTGTCACATACTCAATTTATGTTGAGTTACAGGATACATAAGGTAATAATAAAGATGATTTTTATTGTGATGTTTTCTGGCCCTTAAGTTTCTAAACAGTTTAATCTTCGGTTTTCTGTTCGTTTTCAACCGATAGTGCGCAAAGAACAACTTTGTTAGGAACACAAAGTTTTAAAAATAGCAAATTTGTTAAAAAACAAGCGTTTAGGCCTCAGTATAACATCATTGTTATGTGACGTACATGAATCATTAACAAGTGCTGCGATCTGAATGTGAACAAGAGGAGAGTGTGGTGGGGGTGCATCACGATTTCCAGGTCACACAAACATTGCTTGCGAGAGCACGTGGTAGAGCTGGAGAGGAGTTGAGTCGCTAAACCGTCACAAAAAATAAGACCGCTCTTTTGATTTCAGGAGAATATAATACAGTGTACGCAAAATAATGCTAAGCTTGAGATACGTCACAGTAAAATTAGAAGGAAAGGTCGATATGTCAGGTGGGAGAAACCGCAAGCGCTTCATCTGTTGTCTAAACGTAATTATTCTACATCCGATAGTACAAGGAAGAATTGGGTTATTTATATAAACTAAGATTTTACCAACTATCGTTTCGCAGTCTTTCCCTCCACTCACGTGTGCATTTATAATGAACAACGAAGATCTTAGTTATTTTGGGTCCTCTGTAAGTTCAGTATATGTACGCAATGTTAAATGAACCGGTTACGATGGTCCGTAGCAGTAAACGGTCACAATTTCGTAATCGTTTTGTAGTTATATTTCATTCTGGAAGTCCCGCTGTTATGTCTACAGTGTTTGTTCGCCTCAGGTTTTGGCCTTTTCTATGCAAAGATTTTGCAGATGTAAATGCAGGCTGCCGCTGAAATTACCTCAATGTCTTTCCATTATTTTACTCTGCTATAAATTCAGAAACCCCAGTTGCTTCGATTACTGGTTTCTGAACTTTGAAGCAAAGGATGCATATGCGTGAGGAAAAAGAAATTCATTTTATTCAAAACCCCAAGAATCTTTCTCCTGAATTTTCTATCGCACACTTCCTTGCAGGCTTATATAATATACAAACAAAAACACGCAATGTTCTTGGTGTAAACTTATCCATGACAATGGGAATCCCACACAAAACAGTCACATGTTAATACCGAAAGGGAGTATAACACCATCTCGTTCCACTTCCTTTTCTCACCGCTGCTGACCTCCAGGTCCTCGCGGCAATCGACGTAACGTTTGCACATAGCAAAAACAGCGTGCGGTGGCACAGCTACTATTGTATAATCGTAAGCACAGATAGCTTACAAGACGCTTTACACATAGTAACGCGGATGTTACGTCAACACATTGAGTCTCAGAGGTGCTCAGATCTTCGAGTGGATTTGCCGATGTGGGTACCTGCGCCCAAAAGCACAGAATGTTCTGTGCCATTTAAGTGTATAACTGCTTCGATGTTTATAATGTTCTTGTTGCAGAGCTCAGTGTTGTGTATTTGTTGGTGTTGATTATGCCAAACTATGAAACATTGCAAAAGAGAATAGAAAAGTAAAGCAGTGCCCCTACATGCCATGTAGGTTGCTTGGGGGGAGAGGTTGTATAGCTCCAACTCATTCTTCACCTCATAGTTCCAGTTTTTCTTACAATGGGCCTACATTAAAAATTATATTGGACATTTAAGTTACTTAGGCATCTACTCTTTTTCACATTATTCTGTTCTGTTTAGCAAACTCTTCAAAGATCAGATCTGAGATTCTTACAGTGGCAAGCATGAAGATGGCTAGTCTTCTGGGTTGTGAAATTTTGGAGTCTGGTAGAAATTTACCATTTCACAGGTATGTGCTACTTCCACCATCAGGGAGATGAGTAAACTGCATGCAAGGAATTGATCTGTGATATAGGACCCAGTCAAGGCATATCCTTGGCCAGACCAATGGGGAATAAAATGATTTGGCAAGGGCAAGGAAGCTAACAGGAGAAAAATTCCTTGTATATTGCTTACTTATCACCCTAATGATGGAGGCAGCAAGTACCTCTGAAATGCTGGTAAACATGTACCAGTGTGCATGGCAACCCAGAAAGCAGTCATCTTCCCTTTGAAGATGTGTTTATTCTTTACTGTATCAGTGCCCAGGTTCATATGTGCCTAGAAACATCAAAACTTGCTGAGAAAGGTGTTCAGAAGGCAGAAGAAAGTTTGTGACAGCTTTCTTTCTTTCTTAATCAACCCTCTTGTACACGCAGGTGTCAAGGTATTCATTCATTTAATCTATAGACATTTGGTAGGACTCCTTGGACAAGTGATCAGCCCATCGCTAGGCCTCTACCTGTACATGAGTCAGCACAACACAAAGACGTGGACAAATATCCATGCCTTGAGTGTGATTTGAACTCATGGTTAGATCATGGCTATAATCTCTTTGGGTTCAGAAGTATTAAAATAATTTTGAATGACTATGCTGCTGTGATGTGCAATACGAATAAGACCCAGTCAATTTCAACTCTGCTCCTTTCACCATGTGAACAAGTTGTTACAGTTGTATTTGGTAATAAATACATAACTCCCCGTAACAATTTGACATACAATCTGCTTGGGAGTTCTGCCTAGTTTTGTGAGATAATTTAATCACTGGTCAGTACTCATGTGTCACTAAATCCATGGTACTACATTCTCTCAATACTTTTTTCCACACTTAGGTAGATAACTTATCAAACAGCTTTCATTAGTGGAAACACTCAATACATCATTTTTGTGTGGTCAGTATAAAAAGAATACTTACTATTTCTTCTAGTGAGAGGTGTAGTATTATTCTCAAAGAATACCTACTGCAAAGTAAATAGGACTTCTTCATACATGGCATGGACAGGTAATGTGGGATTTGTAAGGACATGGCTATACTGGAGTAGGTTTCACTGTCATTCATTCCATCACAGTCTCCACTGTACTCACAGTTTCATCACCAAATTGGAATTGGTTTATTTTAACTAAATAACCATTTTGGTGTCCATTATTATGCACTGTCTTCATAAAGGAATGTAACTTTATGGTTAAAAATCTGAACTCATGAAGAGTTGGGTTATTATGTATGAACATTAATAAAATTCACAATAAACCAATCAGATACTCAATACTAGATTTATAAAAAACTTGTTTACACCTTTATTACTGTTTAAAATAGAGAAATGCCAAAATATGAAAATTTCAACAGCACTGCAGCCATGTGACATTTATGTAAAACTTAAAAATTCTGAAACTAGGTGGCAGCACTCTTCAGACAATGGCTTTTTTTTACAGATGTGCTAAGTCAAATTTCACAGTAAATGGAGATTGTTCTTTGAAAAAATTTCAAATCTCATAATATATGGTAAAGTACAGACATTCAACTACAGTACAAATCTGCAACAACAGGGTAAAGAATCAAACATTCAGAAACATTTTTAAAAAATAAGAAATGAAGACAATGTATTTACCAAAGAAACAATTACAGTTTTAGAACAAATATATTTACATAAACAGAGTAAGAACTTCTGTACTACACAAGTGGTAACTTTGACAAACCTTCTATAGGTGAGACTGGTGGTGTAAAATTGTAGGAATCTGAGGAGCTATGCTAGTTTCAGAAGATGGCTGTGACCTGTCATCATGGTGAAGTTACCATTCATTCCACAACCTGTTTCACGTGTTTCATGAAAAAGAAACCTTATAAATGTAATCATTAAAATATTTATCATGATTCAATGCATTACAATTATATTCATTACCTTGATTTGGATTGTCTCATGTACTGTGAATATAAATGTTCATGGAGAATAGTGATTCAGATGTAGAAGTGAAAAGACCATAATGTTAGATTGTCAATGGAGGTTTTCCCCCCCTTCTTTTTGGCAAGTCAGAGATGTTATTTTGAGACTGAATGCCTGAAGAATGTTTAATGGTCTAAATAAAATAATGAGCTCATTTTATTTAGATTAAATGGCACACATATATGCAAAGTGAAACCAAATGCATGTTGTAAGACTTCAGGTTTTCACAGTGTTGAGTATGAAGATTTCTGTCTTCTGGGTTGTTATGCTGTGTAGTATGATCTCTGAAACGTTGGTTAACATTGACCAGACAACACAGCGCAACAACCTAGAAGACAGAAATCTTCAAATGCATGTTGATAATGGATACATTGTTTGGAATTATGTACTACCATACCTCATTTTTAAAAACATACAGGAGGTTCCAGTTGCTTCTCTTGATCCCCCCCCCCCCCCCC